AGACTTCAATCAATAATTATTCCTAAACATCAGATAATTATAGGTGTTCGCTATACTTATAATGGAGAGTTTAGGATTAGGATGCCTAGACTCATTGTTAGGATCCAACACTTTTGGGTTTCTCTATAGAAGTTACGTTCAGTTCTAAAGCCATATGAGTTAGGATCATTTCCAAAGCTATATGGGCTACCTGATAAGAACACTAAGACCATACATCTTAGCAGAAATTCCTCTATGTCATAACCATTAATCAGTATGGAACGAGGAACGCCAGGTATAGGTTTGGTATTATAGACTTATATAGGTTGACATCCCGACATCGGTTGCTAGCTACAACGATCGTCTGACGAGTCGAAGCGAGCGTTGGCGTTCCTAAACTATAAAGTCCACGACAATAAATAAACGTGGGTGTGGACTTTCAACACTAAAATTTCCAAGTGTTGGTGCAGAGGTGGTCGTCACAGTTCGATTATGAGCTCACTTTAGACCCCAAATGTATTTATGTTACCGTATAGGATTGAAATAGGATATATACATAGATTTTGTCCACTTATACTAGTTGAAAGAGACTGTATGTAGTGGGATAGCTTGTGACTCAAAAATATAAGTGTTGTACCAGGAATTAAGTAAGTCATATAACACTTAATTAATATCATGACACGACTGGACATGGTTTATTAACTTACATTAAATAAGTTATTTAAATAAACCCTTTGTTTTTATACGTGAACACCATAGTTATGTGGGAGGAGTTCGCCCCACTGGTTAAGTGTCGGTTCCCAAGTTATGTAAGATAACACTTAAATAATATTGCGGCACGATTTTACGAAGTTTATAAATTCGAAACTTACAAGTTTTACATACAAACTATATGAACGCTTGTACAAGGTTTCATGAGTAAAATTTTACATTTTTATGATTTCACAAAAGGTGATATGACTTTACTTTATATAAATTGGTATTCAAAATCCTCATATAAATTGCATTTTGGTCATGGGAACCATAAAGTTTGATATAAGTTTGTTTTACTTATGTGTATTCTGCCAAACTTTTTACTTTTAGATTTGAACAATGGTATTTATAAATGCGTCAAAATACATTTTTATAACTCAATTATTTTATTCTTTTGATAGAAAAGTACGTATTTATAAAAGTTGGGTCACCAGATAAGTTTTATAAAACACTTTTGGTTATATAAATACTTTGTGTCAAAACCTATAGAACTCACCAATAATTTTTTTGATGTATCTTAATGCATGTATTCTCAGGTTTATTAGCAGGTTGGAAGGATTTGCATAGAAAACTTTCCATTGTTTTACTACACCTTTGTAAACGTCGGTTGTTAGGCGTGTGCCGCGATTTAGTGATAGTTATTTTCAATGAAATTTCTATTTCGGTAATAATAGAATATTATATTTGTACTATTCAATAACTGTGATCACTGATTTACGTCGCACACCTCGGAGTTTTCTCCGGCGGTCGCCGGTCGGGTGTGTGACAGATACTCTTGTAAACACCATACTGAAAATGAACCAAAATATATCAGAAATGCCACAATCCATACCAGCACAACCATCAGGGATAGACTAACCCTCCGAGTTTGTGACTTCCTTGCTAATCGTACGGGTCATGTGCTTCCAGTAGTACGGGCCCATATTACCTTCCACATCTACCTGTATTTGTCTCAATGGTCATCACAAACTGTCCAAAAACAGGCCACAACTAGAATACGCATATATCCTATCCTCGCTCTCTCGAGAGTGGCTAATCATTCATCAAATGGCCTATTACACCTACCTACTCACTCATGAAACTTCCACTAACCATGTAGTTGCTCTTGCATGCTAATTATACATAACGTTGGATTCCATACACGGTCGAATACTCGATTCTACCCTAAGCCCTTTATCAAACAAGAACAACAAATAAGGATAAATCAAACATTCTCAGGGTATAGAATCTTAGTTATGTACAACTATGATGCACACACTAAACAACTATAGTAATGATGTCAATTTCATCTAACATATAAGAAGTCCTTCTAAGCTATCAGGCATCATACATCAGGCAATTCTATCACGCAATTCCTGAAGATCCCTAGCCTACCACTAGCATGTAGTTCTATCATAATCATAAATAAAAAATAACAATGTAGGTAACTTAGGGGTTTTGGGAAATCTTCGGAAAAGTCCCAATATTTTACCCTAATTTACGAAAAAAGTCACAAACTAAAATTTGTTTACGAAAAAGTCTCAATTACCGGTAAAAATGACGATTTTGCCCATTTTTCCCGGTTTACCGGTTTCACTACTTACCCGGTATTAATAAAGTCCCATTATTTTACCATAATTTACGAATAAGTCCCAAATTATGGTAAAATAATGGGACTTTAATGAAAATTATGGTAATATAATGGGACTTTAATGAAACCGGGTAAGTATTGAAACCGATAAACGGGAAAAAATGGTCAAATTGTCATTTTTTCCGGTAATCAAGACTTTTTCATAAGCCAATTTTAGTTTGGGACTTTTTCATAAATTAGGGTGAAATATTAGGACTTTTCCGAAGATTTCCCATAATTTATTGATCCGACTAATCGTACACATATTGTTCTTCCTTGGTTACTTTTCAAAACAATTTTCGAAAATCATTTTGAAAACTTTTACAGATCCTTAGTTTGATTCTGGATTCACATGAATGCTCATGCAATTCTCTCAAACCAGGGCTTTGATACCAACTTGTAACAACCCAAAAATCAAGGTAACATTTTTTTATTTTTCAATCAAACAAAACCATAATCATTTACATATATATTGTTCTCAAAAGTGGAAATCATATATCAAAGTGTTCCTAATCAATATCATAAAACCAGGAGGATGTGCACAATCACCCCTTTGCTTTCCCACGATCATCTCAAGTACCTAAAACATGAACTTGACCGTAAGCCAAAGATTAGTGAGTTCCCCAAAGTACCACACACAACCATACAAGTAACAACATGCATACATGAGCCTTCAACATGACTCGACCGCCGCACTGGGCCTACAGACTATCTAGACTGCTCTTAGAGCCTTCAACATGACTGGACCACCGCACCAGGCCTACATCCTATTTGTACCGCTCTCCGGGCCTTCGTCTTGACTGGAACACCTCTTGGGCCTTCATTCTATCTGGACCACCCTGGGTATCTTGGCCTTCAGCATAAAGTCGGACTGGCTCAACCGACCAACCATAACATGTCAACATATACAATGACAATCAATTATCATCAATACAGGTAATCATGCAAATCTACCAACTAACGCATATCATAAACCATTAGGTATTCATATAGATCTACCACATACTCCGTATAACATCAATCTATATACCAAGATATCAATTCCAGTGGGCCGGCCTTGGTTCCTTCGACCCATACGTATAGTGAGGAAAACTCACCTCTCAGTCCAGAAAAATAGTTGAACAAGACACTACTCCAAAAATCAGCTATGTAAGTCACCTATACATCAAATAAGGACCAATCTCAACTACAACTCAAAATACCCAAAATACCATTAGGTCAAACTTGGTCAAAATCTGGTCAAGGTCAAAAGTCAAAAAGTTAGCTGAGTTGACTAAGCTGAGTACACCCAGCGTACTCAGCTTGTACGCTTAGCGTACTCAAGATCCAAGATCGGGGCTCCCATAGCGTACGCGCGTCGTATGCCCATGTATGGCCAACATATGATGGATGAATGTGTTCCTTTCGATTAAGGGCTTATTCCATTAAGTCCCTTCAACCAAAAGCAGATCTAGTCCCAAAATAACATCTTAAGTCATTAAGTTTCCAACTTTATGACTTTGCATGGCTAGGAAGTGCTCAATACTAAAAACCCTAACTTCTTAACTCATTAAGACATTATAGCCCATGCATGGAAGGAAACTAATGACCAAGATTGCATTTTTATGACCTTAGACACTCCAAAACGTCCAAAAGGACAACCAATTTAGTCTAGAGCATGTCATACTCAAGAACACCATTGCTTGGGAACAAAAGCACATAATAGTATCATACAAGCTACATCTAACATAACAAGTATCAAGGTATAAGCTTTATACCTTCTGGAGATGGATGAGGGTGCAAAACTTCCAGATCCAAATTTGCTCCAAGCTTCCAAGATGTTCTCCTTTCCTTGTCCTTCTTCTATGAACACCAAAACACGCACTAATGGCTCAAGGATGTACCAAAATGGATTAGGGTTTGCTATGGAAGAAATGGGGCTAGAGGCTGATGAGGGGAAGGGTCCAAACTCTAAAAATTAGGATTTGGCCTTCAGCCATGTATGCCCGGCTTACTAGGCAATGCGCCTTCCCCTAATACTTCATCATGGGACCAAATTTGCAATGATTTTTATACATAAGGGTCAAAATGTAATACCTGGGAATTGAGAAGTAACAACTATGACAAGATGTATTAATAAAATAAATGTTGTTTTTCGGGTTTAATTTTGAAAATAATGCAAAAAGAACCAAAGGTCTGAAGATCGTAGACACTAGTAATCTTAAGAAGACCAAGATCTAAGTTTTTAGACTTGTTGAGATAATCAATCCAAGATAGAATGCGCCAAACCATGGGCATGATTTGGGCATAAGGACACCGTGTCATCTCGAAAAACTGGGAAATAATAGCTGGAAAAGGGAAAGAAAGTCTGATTGAGAATGAAAAATAATAAAAATAGATCCACGAAGAAAATAAAAAATCAGGTCTCAACTTCGTATCATGTGACCTAAAAATGGTTTGAAGAAGGAAATTTTCCTTCAGCCCGAAGAAACTCAATTTTTGTATTCGTAAAATTACTGTCTTCCTTCTTATTTCGAAGAATTCCTGCATTTATGAAGTCTTCATGGATAAAACCCTCATTATCATTCTTCGATATAACAAGAGCTTTATCCATGATTTTGGAAAACAAGAATGACAGGAAAAAGAATATTTACTTAAAGGATCGATCATGTAAGGAAGAATGAACGAGTACAAGGTTCTATTTATAGTGCATGAACAAGCAGGATCCTTTGAATTCAAATTTCCTAGGAAATCAAACTGCCAGCCTGATCCTTTAGTATGTAACGGGTAAGAATCTAGAAATCTCCAATCGTTTAGGATCTTGGAATGAAGATTTATGGGGTCAATTGTTGTGGGTAGAAATTTTGACTTTCCGTTTTTATCTTGAACTTGAACTAACATCCCAGGAAAGCCCAAGATCTTGGATTCATTCAGTATCTTGGTCTGCCATCTTATTTCTTGTGATATCTTGTGCATAGACTTAAGTCTCAATGAAAAAAGAATAGACCGAGTCAACTACATATGGTCAATGCCTAATGAACGCCAAAGACTTTCGAGAAATTCGGGTCAAGAAAAGATCAAGGAGAATACCAAGAATGTCGAAATTTTATTTTTGTTATGCATATAAAGACTAGTTGATCGATGCACACACAAACACTTCCAATACTACTTCTTCTATAATTCTTTCGACACTTGAGCACATTCACAATTTTCTAAGATCAGCTAGCACCTGTAATTTTGTTTCACTTCAATACAAGTTCTAAGGTAGGTGATTTCATCACCGCCTGAGGTTTTATGTCGGATATCCAAAAGGATTAAGGACTTTCCTTGTAATTCTCTATGTTCTTGTACTTATTTATATATTACTTATTGTTGTTTGATCGACATACACTTATTTCATTGTTTGCTTGACTGATAATCTGTTTTCATATCAAATTATGAAGATATTTTATGGTATCTTGGTACCTTTTGAGTATTTTAAAGCTTCATTATGCATACTCATTTATTTGTCAGTTTAAAACTATTTTTCCCAAAAATATTCATTTGCATCTGAAAAATACTACACTATAATTTAATAGATCTTCGACTACCCTTATTTTCCACCTCGGATCTTGGGTACTGCCAAGATCTTCGTCGTATTCTAAAATCTTAAGTACTTCAGGTTTTTAATATTTTATTTCCAACATCACACCATACATACTAATTTGGTTACAAAATTAGTTTGGAAAGACTATTATGCCCTAAACCTTAATTGACTTAAAAAACTAATAGAATTAGGGTTAATGATTATTTATTAAAAAAATTTAAACCACACTAACGTTTTTTGAGGATATAAAAAGTATGTAGTGAACTCGATTCTTTTGGAACCACATGTACCATTTTTGAAGTTTTTTCTTTTTATAATAGTTTTGGTCCAAACCTTTTTGGACCAAAATAATAATTTTCAACTAACCACAATGACTATTTGTGCAGTTTTGTCTTAAACTTATAAATGTTGGTGGAAATAATATTTATTACATTTAAGTCATTCTTGGATGCGATTGTGATTGAGTTTTACGTAATAAAAATTCCATCGATTATATTTTAATTTATTAAGACCATAAGTTGGATACCAAATACCCACAAGTATAATTGCACATCAGTAGGTATTTACTAACTGTGTATGAGACGAAACTGTGTTTGAGATACAATTTTATAATCGAGTAAGAGATTGAGATCACCGGGTACACGTTGCATACCCATTCTATCGCCATCCCTACTTGTTATATTATTAGTTTGACCATCAAATTCTTTTCAAAATTAGAAACTTCGAAACAAATAATCCACCTTATAGAAAATTTTAAACACAAAAGATACAACGAAAAAAATTCAAAGTATTTACCCAAACTTTTCTTGAAGTTAGATTCTAGTGTGTACAATACGTGTTTATGCTTTGTCGGGTCTTTTTCGGGAATCCAAACGCCCGAAATTTTTTATAAGTCAACTTTGTTAGTATCCTTTTTCAGCGGATGTCATTATCTACAAAGAATATAAAATTTTAATGATCAAAATGGTGGATTATGCTTGTAGGACTACAATTATAAACTAGTATTTGTTTATCTATCATAAAGTTGGATATAAAGACATTATCGAACTTTAGTAATATCATTGATATAACTTTATACACTCACTTCAACCGGTTAATTGGTAACATACGTGACACAATAAATCAAAATATTAGTTTAATCCATCATTAATTTTAATCTCAATCCTAATCCAAATCCATTATATGCCAATACGATACAAGACTGTATAGGACTGACAAAAGTATACCACGGAAAACTAACCAACGTGTTACCAACCGAACCAAGAAAGTTGGTAGCCAACATGTTTGGTTGGTAGTACCGTACCTACCAATTCATTATATATATATATATATATATATATATATATATATATATATATATATATATATATAAACGAAATCGTATATTTCAATTGTCAATTGTGTTTAGTGTTTATAGTTTTATGAATATTATGTAAGTCATTTGGTAGCATTAATTAGTCGATAGTTGTCACTATGTTACTTTAGCTTTAATTAAAACGTAAAATTAAAACGTTACTTTAGCTTTAATTCAATAGAATTATTTTGTAAATTAAAAGAATTACATAACTAATTTCTTTACTAAGCGTCAAAATTACCCGATGTTTTTGTTTAAGTCTAAATCTTACAATAAAAAATTAAAAGAAGTCGGTATATATCATCACCAATTTGTATCAACCAAACTTGTTGGTAGCCAAACATATTGGTATCAAATATATTTGGTACGGTACCAAGGATAGTTGGTATGGTATACGGTTTAAGGAATAAAGAATCGGTACCGTACCAATTTCATCCTTAAGATTGTATATGAATATCTTATCATGGGTAACTAACAGGGTCTTACGGCTTAATGAAACAAATAACCAAAGTAACAAGAACAATTAATTATAGTCCAAATTTGAAATCGAATCAAAACTTGAGGTACTGGATTCCAAAATAAACCAAAATAGAAAGATTCTGTAAAACTGTCCGTAAAACAGGTTCCATACAAAAGTTTCCACGTGGCAGATCATCAACCACAACGCCCAAAGCAGCTGTATGTACAATGGGGACTTGAAAAGAGCTTACTATGCATGAAATCATATATCCATACATCTCTCTCTCTCTCTCTCTCTCTCTCTTTAGTATTTGACAAACGTATGCATTCGTCCATATTTAGTATCCTCACTGATTGGATGAACTGAGTTCACCTGAATACAGAAACAATAAGGTAAACAGATTGGGTTTTGAAAGAGTTGAATCGAATTCATGGCTTTTGGGGGTTTTCAGGTAAGTGGGTTTTCTTTAATTGAATTTGAAATGATAATTTTAATCTCCCCCAAATTTCTTTGATGTAAATTGGCTTCAGATTTTGTGCGAAGTATTTGAGTAGTTTCCTCTGTATCTGAAATCAAATTTGTAAATAAACAATCGAACCTAATTGTTCTCAAATTAAGTGTCGATTTTGACCAATAGTTTATCGCAGTAATCGATTTTTGCCATGTTCCTTATTATTCGATGCTAATCATTTAAGACGAATAGGGTTTGTTCTCTGATCGCCTTAGCCTTCCACTTTCAGTTAAGAGTTCGAATGTCAAAGGTCAAAGATTGGTCTCTTTTAGATGCAATAAAGTCAAATCTTGAGAATTCATGTTGATTTTATTGTTTCCCTACTAAATACTAATCATTTGTTCAATTTTATGGAATAATCGACTAATTTTTTTTATTTCAGCGGAGTTTATTTATACATTTTGATGTTACTCCTATGTTCCCTTAGTATGTTTTAACTTTTTCAAGTCAAACGAGATATTTTCTAGTTTACATTTGAAACTTTTTTCAAAGAAAACTGATTATTTAGTTAGTACTTAGTTAGAAAATTGAAAGTCTTAATGTTTATCAATGGCCAATGACCCTATCAAGCAAATTTAACATTTTGTAGTGGAATGAAAGATGCATCATCTTGAAAAATACTCGAATAACCGATTGTTTTATTTGGTATTAAAAGTAGGGTAATGGAGAACATGAATGAAGAGATTGATTTGGGGCTTTCTCTTGGTGCTACAAATCAACGTGTGGAGTCTTGTAGTAATTCAGGTGTAGGTGCAAATGCAGATTTAGGGTCAAGATTAGACACGAACACAAAGCCATTTGTGAGACCTCATCCTTTGACTGAGTTGGTTTGGTCAACTCAAAATGGTCTAACCATCAAGTATACTGGCTGCAGCCCCTGTTTTGCTGACACAAAAGATGATGAACGTGTGATTGATGCCTCTTTTTTCAGATCAACTCTTGCTCACACAGGTACACATAAAATGACAATAAGGGCAATTTTGTAAATTGTTATGAGTTCAAGGGAAAAGTCTCATTTAGTTGAGTTTCAGTCGTTCTTTCTGCATTAAGTGAAAGAGAAACACACATATACATAGCTTACCAGATTAATTCATGTTCCCTTTAAGCCCATTAAGTCAAAAAGAAACAACTCCTAGTACTGAATTTTTAAATTCATGAGTTTTCTAAACTGGTTACATTGTTTTATTTCAAATTTTGTGAAGAAAATAAGGAAATTTTGAATTCGGTAAGTACTAGATTTGACCATAAAAGTCAAAAAAGTATGCAAGGGATAGCAATATAATCGAGGAGTTTATTTTGGAAAACAGCTGAAAATGTTGGTGATTTGAAGTGTCAAGTGTGTCCAATTTATTGAAATGGATAATTGTAATAAGGGAAAAGAAAAGGATTTTATAATCAATTCAAAGAACATACTAACTACTGAAATAGGCAATATACTTTACTTTTTTTTATAATTCCCATTACTTCTTTCTTTTTGTTAGAAGTTATGTCCTACAGATTGCAGGAAATAGGCAATATACTTTATTTTTTATCCAGAACAGCAGCATATTTATATTTTTTAGTCATAATAGCAACATACTTACATAAGATTATTACAACATAAGCAGCAGAAGCACATTCAAACATGATTTATTACATCTGTTTAATTAATTTTTTCAAAAGACAAGTCCAAACACCCCCTGAAATTTGTTTTTTTAGGTCCACAAAACCGAAGAACTGCTGATCTTCTGCCACTACTCTCTAATGAGCCAGAAAAATTAGAAATCAAGACTGAAAACACTGACAGATTCACCATGGATGTTGGATTGCCTTTGAAAATGACACAAGAACACATAAATGTCAAAAGGGGTGAAGAATTAAAAGAAGAGGGTAGTTCGAGTGCGCCTTTTCTTGAAAAAATGGAAGAAACTGCTGAAAATGATGTCATTGTTAAAGATTCTATCTTGAAAAATTCAGAGAAAGATCAAAAAGGAGGTGAAAATAGAGAAGAGGGTTGTAAAGAAGATGATGATGAGAGCCATAAAAGCATGGAAAGTTGCAACAGTGCTAATTTATCTTCAAAAAAGAACAAGGGATGGAGATTTGAAGAACAGTTGATTATCGGAAGTAAACGAATCAAGAAACAAAGTCAAGAATATTGTCCTGTGGTCAAACAAGATAGTTCTTTCATGAATTGGATTTCAACCATGGTCAAAGGCGTAAAACCCTATCAAGAAGAAACTCCTCGTCCATTTGATGATGATCAGAACAAAAGATTAGGGTTTCAAACTGTTTTTCAATCGCTTTATTCACAAGATCCAAAACGACTCGAAACAAAAACAGAGATCGACGATAAATCTGTTAACGCGTCTAAAGAAATCATTTTGTTCGATAAAACAGCATCCGATCATAACCCGTATGTTAATTTGAACCAAAAAGCATTTGGGAACTTATGGATCACTCGTCTTTTTCCAAAAATACCCTCCAACATAAATACTTTAGTCGCCAAAGATTCATCCACCATCGACGCCTCTGCTTCTTTTGGGATGAAACAGTTCGAGAAACCTGTGGAAAAGTCAAAATGTTTCTTTTGTGGGAAAACGGGCCATGAATTACGCGATTGTTTACAGATAAATGAGAATGGAAATGTGTTCTTTAAGAAGAAGGTATCGAGTTTTAATGAAATTGCTTCAACTTCTGGGAATAATAAGCTGTTTAATGAAGAGAAGATACACAGAATACCTAAAGGAATGTTCGACACCATAAGAAGCCTTAGATTGTCTCGAACAGATATCCTCAAGTAAGAGTTTTCGCTTTCTTTGTACCATTTCTTATTCTATTTTCTATTATTGATTTCTATTATTGATTTGTAATATCAGATGGATGAATTCCCATTTACCCCTCACAAATTTAGATGGATATTTCTTACGTTTGCGTCTTGCAAAATGGGAAGAGGGAGTAGGGGAAGCAGGGTATTATGTTGCTTGCATAACAGGTATTGCCTCATACTTCATAACTTCAAGTTTTTTTCAAATCCAAAAATACTATGAATTATGTTAATCTTTATAGAAATTGGTTACTTAGTTCTAATAAATTTGGTGTTAAGTTTGTAGTGATTTTCATGTCATTTTTGAATTTGAAACGTTGGAAAGTTGACCTTGAAAGTCAAACTATCTTTTCTCTATATATTTTAGAGGGAGCATCAAAAAATATTTGAATAGAATACTTAAAATTGTTGATACTAACTATTTTACTATGATGTGTGGGACCATGAAGATGAAAATCCATCAAAAGGATCCAAGAAGCCTATACGGGTTAACATTGGAGGTGTTGAATGCCTTGTTGAAAGTCGATACATCTCCAACTGTGATTTTCTTGAGGTAAAGTTATTGTACTTTCCCTTTTGATGTATATAGGGTTAATGCAAGAAATAGCAATGTACTTTAGCATCCTTTTGAAAATCAACCAATTACAGTATTACCATCCAAATAAAAAGCAATTTCAGTGCTATAACTAAGTATATTTTTCAAAGTATAATGTCTTATAAAGAAAATAACTAAAAAGTACAGTGTTATAATTGGGTAAAATTTTCGAAATACGATAATGTAATAAAAATAAATGAAAATATGTTTGATGTGATATTTGATTTCCAGGATGAACTCATAGCTTGGTGGCAAAGAACGTTGACAAGTGGACAAGTTCCGATGGAAGAACGGTTGACCTTCAAGTTGGAGGAGAGAGAAAAGTTAGGGTTTTAATTGCAAGAAACAAACTGTAGAAAATTTTGAAGCAATGATTTTCCTTTTATTCGGCTTGTAAGCTTTCCTTTTTCTATACGACATTGGTAATTGTATAATTAGTATAGTGAGGTTTTAAGCTTTTGATAATAGGTGCTTTAACAAACAGACAACAAAAGTTTTCATCTTGTTTTGGGAAAAGTATATGTATATATGTATGTATGTGTGCATATTTGGAAGAGATAACACATGAAATATTCACATGCATGTGTTGGATGTTATTCGTTACAAATCGGACATTTTAGTTTGTAACCTATGATATGTTTATGAAGGTTGTGAGAATAGATTATTGCATTGTATTTTTTTATTTCTTTCTTGTTATCGCATTGTATGTTAAGTCTATTTCTTATTATGACATTGTATATTAAAAAATCGATATGATTGTATTGGTATCAGTTTGCTATTTCGTATTATGACATTTTTTATTTCTTTGGGTACATTTAAGTGACTGTCCAAATTATGGATTTGGTCTTTTCGGCCTAATTTCTTTGTGAAGTTGATCCCTAGACTTGAACCTCGTTAAAAATGATCCGTTAACACACCCCACGTGCCCCTTGCATGAGGTAAAAAGGTCTATTCATGTCTTAACATTATCGTCTTTATGGAAATAGATTCCAACCTAGACTCGCAATTGTGCTCCCAAAATTTGGTTGGCTCTTCATTTTCTTTCTCCTCCATTCTCATCCTTAAACCCCAGAAAACACTATAAGTAGACATAATTTCTATCATTGCATCTACATTTGTTTGAAGATGGTGTTTTAAATGTTGACAATTCGACCATTAACCAACATTTTGATACCTAATCGTATATGGTGAGTTCTTAAGTCTTCATTAATGAGATAATTGTCCATGAAAATAAATGACTATAGTAGTCAAAAGCTACTAACTTGCTTCTTTATTTATTTTGTCTTGAACAAAACAAAAATTAATGTTTTCTATGAATCTTCATCATGGTGGAAAGTTCATAAAATTTTCAGGAATTAGATATATGTATAGAAAAATTAGGTACATAAACTTGCTAGACATAGATGAGTTTTTTGTTCATGCATTAGACTCGATAATGATGGAAGTAGGTTACACTGTCCCCCTAGTCATTTACTATATATCATTTCAGAATTCCCCATAGTATATTGGATTTTTTGACTAAGGGATTTGGGTAATGATGTTGATGTCCTGAATCTTGCACGATATATTAGGGATAAAAAGATTACAAATGTCTATATTAAGAGTAAGTCAACAAATTTGATGACGTATCTCATGTCTCCAAAACCTAGTAATAGGTGGAAGTGAGTTATGGGTGAGAGTTCTTATGGTAAAAAGTTATGCTTGAAGTTCTTAGATGGTGAGGGAACCATTCACCAAGAACATGGACACATTGATCAAGAAATGGAGAAAAGAAAATTTGTTATTGGATTTTTTGACTAAGGGATTTGGGTAATGATGTTGATGTCCTGAATCTTTGTGACAACCCGGAACTTCTATCAAGGTTAAACTCGACTCCGTCACCTTTTATCACCGTTTAAGGGTCCGTTTAAGTGTTCTAAGCTTGAGTACAACCAAGGTTGAGGTTAGGGATGAACTGTAAAGTCGTAAGGTAGCGAAATCGGGCCATACATCCTCTTGGGAGGAGTGTACGGCCGCACACTCCTGTGTACGGCCGCACACACCCTCTGTACGGCCGCACACTCCTGTGTGCAACCGCACACATATCCTGGCCGCACACCCTGGCCGCACACACACTCTTATGGCCATACACCTCCTTCACTCAATCACATAAGGTTTTAACACCTAGTCCAAGTGTTTCTCAAGTCCTTAAGTGGTTTCCCGTTATGTCTAGTCGTGAAATACCCTAATTTTTACTCCTATATGTGTTATTACATGTTAAATAGGATCTAACTGTGTTCAAGGCTTCTTTAAGCACTCGGCATCTCATACCGATCTTTGTTTCAAACCCTCCGAGTTTTTCATGTTTTCAGGGGGGAATACAAGCAAAAACACGAGGAAACTCGTATTCAAAGTAATTTACGTTGTATAAGTTAATTATATGCTCAGTATGCTTTTAACAAGGAAAACAGTTTTTACCAACCGATTAAGAAATCAACTCGTAGAATACAGTTTTCAAAACCAGGATAATTAACTTGTGAATCTTATAGTAAAATGTATTATTTATAAAGGATTCATGCAAATCATAAACAGAATTTTCGGTATTGTTACTAGTAAATTTGTTAGTCTAAGGTTGGAGACACGTCCTTAGTAACACCCCAACGAAATCCGGGTGTAGGACTAGCACTTGTAACTAGAATCTCTTGTAGGGAGAGCGTGACTGTTGTGTATAGATCTATACGGGACTGACTATCCCGCACCTGAACTGCTAGCTACAGTTAGGCAGACATGCCTAGGGTGACAAAGTCATAAAGGATACTGGCCCCGTTACGTGCCATATCAAGTTTATGTATGGTTATGACACTCGCAACTTAGATAACAGGGATTTACTTTTGTAATAATGAATCAAGTGAACTAACCTCATAGTAATAACCGTTTTGATTACTAGAAGGTATTAATAATACCTTTAGGATCTAGTTCACCCCGTTCTTATTAGTTTTGTTTATAAAATAAGGCTAATATACTCCATTGAGAGAAATCAAGGCTTTTTCAGGAAACATTGATCATCGATACAAGTATGGTAAATACTTGTACACCTCAGTTTAGAACGGATAATCAACCATCAACTTTAGGGAAAATATGGGATTTTCTCTGGGATAAATCGACCTTTCATAAATGGATTTTTTTACAAGAAGTTAACAAATATCCATATTCACTCCATGACACCTTGGATCGTACATACCTTGCATGGATTTGGGAGTCATGGAAGGAATGGGTTTTCAAACGCACTTTTGTAAGAAAATATAGGATTTTCTTGAGAAACACTTTTCAAAAGGAACCAAAGGAACACTTTTCCATAAAACTTAAATGCTTATGAACTCACCAGCTTTATGTTGATATTCTTTCAAACTGCTTGTATTCTCAGGGTTTCATTAGACAGGTACTTCCAGGCTTTTGGAGAAGTCGGCGCGTTAGAGTCACGTGTTTCTATTTCACTTTGGATTAGAACAAAACTATGTATTAAATCAATGTAAACCTTTTCATATATGTATTCGATGTTTGGTTGTGTTTACTATGTTTACTATGATGCAATGGTTGTGATACTACAAATGACGTCCTCCACCCCTGAACGTTTCCGCCGTTCCGGTTTGGGGGTGTGACAGATTGGTATCAGAGCCCTTGTTTATAGCGAACTAAGTATACCGAACCTTACATGGTATACAACTATAAATACTAAGGGGCCTAAGTGCTCTAAACTAAAAGTATACTTTCAAAAATACAAGTATTTTTATAAAAGTATATAAGTGTACCCGAGTATCAGAATCCGTGTCGTAAGTAGACGAAACGAAAGTATTTGGATGTTGGACACTGCGGTTAAACCTGGGCAGTTATGTAATCATGTCTAGGATCAATATAGTCTGATCAACTATATTCATTCGAGACATGACCAACATGTGCTTGGGAGTGACTATGGTGTTACAGCAAGTCTAAAACTTACCTAGATACTAGAGGAGTTCTAGAGCCAAACATAAGAATTAAAATACTATAGGAGTATTTTAGGATGCTATAACGACTAAGCCGAAAACTTACCCAAGGATCCATCCTTCAAGAATCAAGCATGTAGCCATGATACATTGGAAGTATTATTAGATTCGATGCCTATTAACTATTCCTTTACCATCACCGCGCGTAGATAGCATGGTTGGATTCCATCTCCCTGGCGACCCATACTTTCCCAACCAAGGAGATGACGGATGGATCGAGCCAGAGCCAGAAGGAAACCATGAAATTCCTTTGGACGATGACTTTGCCGAACCATTCCCTGAAGAGACTGACTCAGAACCCGAAGTCGAGAACCTACCTCAAGTGACCCCAATACCAAATCCTAACCCTCAAGTTGGATTCCAAGGTCCAACGCTCATGTGGGTCAGGAGTTTGAATAGGTGGAGCCACGAGCAAAACCAACCCCTCCCATAAGACGGAAACCGCAACTTCTACAATCTGAACGAGGGAGGCCCCGCAGACAGGGACCTTCCAATCCTGACACGCCGAGTGGCTCACAATGTGGAGCTAGGTATGACAACCCTTCAGCGAGCAGTGGAGCTCGAAGCTGATTCGGACACCAGCATGGACCGCATCCGTCGCTTCGAGATTGCTCATGCGAGGGCCGCAAGGAACAATGAAGCTCCGCAGCAAGAGTTAACTACAACTCGAGCCGAGGTCATAGAGCTCCGAGCCTATCAGTCAGAGTACGAGAGACGCCTGCATGACGTGGAGCGTCAGCTGGCCAAATTAAGGTTTCACCTGAGGAGTTCACGTCGCCAATAGAGGAATACCCTCCTCATTCTTCCTTTTTGGTCTAAGGAATAACCTTCATATCTATGTTCTAAGTAGCTCTTTTCCGTAAACATCTCCGTCTTTTATATCGTCAAAATCTTCTCTTTGTTATTAGACTTAGACCTATTGTTAGGTCATGAGTTCCGAAATATGTAATCTCAGTTTCAGTTATGACGACAACAATCGTATTTCAGTTAAAGCACGTATCATAGGATGTGCTCATACCTTAGACGATCATTCCTTTTCCTCATCGATTTCATACCAGTCTCCATGAAAAGCTTCAATGTCCTAATCTGCATAGGACGAATGAGTCCCCCATCGTGCCGATGTCCTTTGCTTCGAGAAAAGCGATTCGTCTCAATCTTCCTTCTGACCGAGTCCTCACTGGTTTCAGTGATAAGTCTGTTCGAACCTTAGTATCATTTCATGCGTCACAGCCTAGGAGCATCTACGGAAGGAATGCTATGTATTCCTAGCTCATGTTGTCAATGAGACGCAAGAAGTTAAAGACCTCGAGAGCATTTTCGAAGTCTACAACTTTCCCGATGTCTTCCCCAAAGACATTCCAGGGATTTCTTCTGAGTGCCAAGTTGAATCCCGTATCGACTTGATCCTCGGAACTACCCTTATAGCCAAATCTCCATATCGTCAAGAGCCGACGAAAATATGAGAGTTACTCAGCCAGCCCGATGAGCTGAGCAACCAGGAGTTCGTAAACTTATTGTATGTGAACTTTGTGTGCTCAAATCTTTTCTATCCTTGCTAAGACCACATCATGGGGAT